TTCCCTTAAATTTATTTATTCATCGAAATAAAGTACGCTTATGAGCGTTTATCCATTAAGCAACCTTCTACAAAATAAACCTTTTACTAAGCAAGGATATTGTTCAATTTATTTTCTTTTTTTTTTCATCTAATGGTTTTATGATAAAACTGTTAAATTTACGTAGATAAAGTTAGGCAAAGATATAGTATAAAAAACTATGAATAAAACGTGAATAATGCATGGTTGTGTTTTGGTCTAGAAAGTAAGCAGAATAAATAACATGAAAAACGTGCTGCATTTTAATTTACCGTATATGTAAAAATCATTCATCTTGTTGCGTACTATACGATCGTACATGTTCCCTTCCTTCCATTTTGCATTGTTCAGTTTTGCAATGGCACTAGAGAGTCCTTCACATCTACGATTGACATTCAGAGTCGGTACCAGACGGCTTAAAGTTCACCCCTTAGCACTCCGTACAACTTACAAGAGACGTCTCGAATGCCAACTTGGACTATAGGCGGGAATAATTGTATTAGCAAGTTATAATACTAGGTAGGTAGGTTTTAAGTACGTAAACTATTCTCCCTTCCTGCATAAACCAAAAGCCGGAATATTATTGTAGTGTTTGTAAAATCTATTATTTCTGTTTGATAGTTTTATTTATTATTATACGTTTTATAAAGTTCAAAATCAACCCTGAAAGGAGATAATTTTAAACTTTATAGTTTAGAACCACATATAAAACTGCCATCTCGCAAAATGCGTGTGAAAAGAAATTATTTTCCAATAAGTCAGTTATGATCCGGTTAAGATTAGTTGCTTAACATTTTAGTAAGTATTTGTCTGTATTAGAGGTAGGTGTTGGTTTAGTATCAAGTATAGTTAAGTAGAACACCTCAATAGTGAGGTGATGTTAAGGTTGCAGAGGTCGAGGGGTCACCGTTTGCTTTCAACAGTTAGGCACAGCATCGTTTCAACCTGTAATTATAGCCAGTATTGTACGTGTTCCTCTCATATCTCATCATTATGTTGCGTAAATGCAATATTTCAACGTTTGTTTGTAAATTACTATGTAGATATATGATATAATAATAAATTTATCCGTGAGACGTCGATTCAATAGGCTCGCCTGTAGTCTGCCACGTTGGATTTAAATTACAGATAAACTTGGCGTTAATAGTTGAATTTATTTATTGGTTAATAATTAAATAATTTTATACGTAGAAAATAATGAATTTGTAGATCATAACAATTCATTAATGTTTTGCTACTGGGCAAGGGTCTTTCTCATTAGAGGCGGTTTGGGTTTTGTTTTCGTAGTTATATAATATAGTCAACTAGTTATAGCAGTTGCTATTTACAGTATCGTGGGGATGTAATAGAGTACGGGGGTAAATTATATTGTTCCTCCGTTACAACATTTTAAATATAAAATTGCAATTATCCTAACCCATATGTAATCTCGCTGGCAATATAATATATTTCTTAATGATAATTTAAAAAGTGGTTCCGTAGTAAACTAAATCCACAGAAAATATTACATAATGGTTAAGTAATACATAACTAAAACGCTAAGTACATAAGTAAAAGAAGGAAGTTGATAAAAATCGACCACTAAAAATATTCTTTTCTATTTTTAAGCAATTACCATACGAAGATTTTAAAGTCTATTTATGTGTATATTATGCAATATTTTTGCGAATGTTGAGCCTATTTTGGTATTTCATTTTGGTGTCGCTAACATGATTTACTCCTGTGTTGCTATCCTGCTCGTCTTTGGAGAACAACATCTTAAATTGTACATTGGTAATATTAATAATTCTAAAGTTCAATTTATAGATTGTAATCTTATGAGTTATCTTGGGAGTTATATTATGAATGTTTTAGCCAGTTTAAATTGATAACTATTGTAGGAATTTGTGGTTTAAGCGATGTACGGTTCTGCACAACTACATTGAGGTAGTAACTGACAGCAACGTAGTGATTACTTATCGATATTTTTGCTATTTGCTCTTATTTAATTTAATAAACAATCCGATACATAATGATGTATAAAATATTTTAATATTGTCAAAAATTTAAATAATGTCTGTCTGTTTTATCATTACATTAAATTAACTTCACGATATTGAAACATTTTAAAGAGAAGAGCAGTTTTAAACGAGTCACAGGCATTTGTCTACTATTACTGTTGCGGTGATTTCAACATGCTTATATATCGCTAAGTATAATTTGAATCCATCGTGGCAAGGGGTGAACCTACTTTTGTTAGCGGCGTTTTCCATTACTGTGACCGAAATATATATCATCATGACTGGACCTACAGAGCAATATGTTAGTTGAAGGAGGTTCTGCTATACGTAACTTCAATGTATGTTTCATTCATTGCAACGAGAATCCGATATAAGAGGGAAACCGTGTTTTTATTAAGATATAATGCACCTTTGGGATGAAGGTGCAATTATTAACAGGCTTCTTGATGCCCCAGGGAAATATACTGAGGGTTATAATGTGGTTGTGGCCCTAACGTTTGTCACCCTTGGTAATCAAGCTTCGTACAAATTCAATAAATTATGTATTACTATTTGACCGCCAGAGTTAATTATATGAATGTTTGAGTACTTTAAACAAAGTATATTGGAATCTATTCGATCGGTATAAAGAGTTACCGAATGATTATTGCTATAATAATTTCGTATCCAAATATTAATAATGAGATACAATTAAAATATACTAGTAATAATTAGTGTAAGGGATTTGGAGGACTTGTCTTGTCAGCCAAGAGTGCATACTGTCATGTTGGATAATACGCTAACTAACATCTTATTTCACTTTTTACTAATATATTAAAATTTTAACTTCTATAATTGGAATTGTGTTTCTGTCTGTAAGTTTGTTCCATATTCATGCAGAAACTATTAATATTATTAGCACTGTCTTATTTGTTTCTCTCGTGAAGCGTAGTTGTTTTGATTTTAACGATTAAAAGGCAAATATAATCTCAAAAGGTATAATGCCACAGAACATCTATTACTTTAGTCCTCACGAGTTGCATCGGATATTGGCGTCATAGCAGCGGTAATTTATATTGGATGGTGAGATGTCAACAGCACAACAACGTTGCTTGGAAAAATTTCTGATTCATTTAAATGTAAAATATTGATATACTCATACATCTTACTTTTATGGTATTGTAATATACCTATTTTATCTATAAAGAATCGTGGATGCTCTAATATATTCCATGTTCCACATTCCATCCTCATGTTTTGTATTATCTATGGTCGTGTTCATGCTGTGATGGTCACCAATATATGTCAAATAGCAAGCATTCATTCTCAATGGTATAAAGAATTGTTTTCGTTACGTGCACGCATTTAGTTGATACTGTTATTAAGGATATTTTGATATTTCTGCGTGGAATTTAAATAATAGGTCAAAATCATAATATGTGGAATATTCGGCAACAAGAAACGATTACTATTTCCGCCGCGTGAATCATAGGTACAATAATTACTTATACCGCCGATGGCCAATTCATCACTTGGAATTTTATAGAGCGCGTTTCCCTTTAATAACATCGCGCTTGTTTCATTTTGCTCGGCAAGAGCTGCATGATTAATCGTTTGGGAAAACATGGCTGCCTAACCCTGTTATTTAGGTATTTTGGATTTGTGGCTGCTAAATTGTTGCAATTATATTTTCGTTAAGGTGGCCAACTAAGTACAGTCTGTTTCGTTTTGCAAGTGACTTTTAGTTAACGGTCGCTGATGGTGTTGTCGTGCATCGACTATTTGGCCGATTAGTCTTCGGTGATTATAGTTCGAATTGCGAAAGTGGGTATGAGGTTCGACACGGATTGCGGTTGTCATGGTATGATCAGTCATTAAGTGACTTCATACCCGTTATAGACAGATGTAAACAGTTCTAACGATAAGAACACATTAAAATATTTTGATTTATGGTTGTTGTAGCTAGCTGTTACTTTTTTATTTATGGTTAAACTCATAAAATGATTTGAGAATATATAGATTGGTCATCTAAACAATTAATTATATTACTGTTTAATATTCCGCCTAGCAGGGGTTGCGACACCCACTGACACTAGAAGTTTCTGGTTAATTAAAAAAATAAAACTGCATTTTAACAGTATTATTATGTTCAGTGGATTGAGTAAAAGTAATATAAAATGTGTTACCTACATACAATGCCTACTCGTGTTAGAGTTTTAAGTTTCGAGAGTAACCTGGTAAAAGGCTCTGAAGGTTGTGAATAGTCACTTAAAAGAGGTGAATCGTGTATAAATGTAGGAATAAGACTACGTTTACATGACAGAGATTGCACTACTAGTTATTTTTTCTATAGTAGTAGTAGGTTTTCTAATAGATGATAATGAAGTAGTCACCCCACCCGCACTATCGGTATATACTGGCATGTCACCACTGGTGATGAGATGATAGGACAATTGGCCCATCGCGATGAATTTAACAATAATTAATCACGATGGTTTTTAGGGGGAACCGCGTGGAGGTCGACCTAACCGGGGATTATTGTCCCCATTCCCAACAACCCTTCGCCCCCCAGGGTAGTAGTAGGTTAGATAGTGCATAATTATTATAGATTGTTATTAATGTATACACACTTACATAGTAGCATCTCTTGTGAATTAAAAGAAAACCGACTAACTAAAAAAGATCATAGTCAAGTATTCCACTTGTCTGTCCTGTCATTCCTTATAGATCTTTATTCACATGATTTGATTAGTATTATAGCTTTAAATTTGGAAGGGCTGGCTGCGAATTATACTAGTAGGATACGATAGATTAGAGTTTTTGTCCTATAACGTATCCCTGATTGCGAACGTGATCACTCTAGATGTTCCTATTTCTTTTCAATTTATGGTTCACACGCATAAGATTTCGTGTATCATTCAAAATATAGTGTTCGTAATAGGGTCCGTACTCAATGAATCTGTACACTAAGATTCTATACATACGAGTATATTTTCTTTTCAGACTTCGGTCTGGATCGATCAGATAACCTAAGTGTATCCGATGAATCCTTACATGATTACGACGTGCAGCCTATAGCGATAATAACGTCTCACATCCTGTTGCTAAACTGGGTTAATACAACTCCGATATCTCTTGAGATGTCGGAGCATCTCACCTTTGTAATCTGCATCTATGTTGAAGAATATGTGTATTTGGGTATTAGTGCAAAAGCATATGTTCAGTAATTTGATTCTTTGATTCAATATGTTGGTAGTTTTTTCTGTGGTCTATATTGTTAATTTCTATAAGTCCCGCATAGAATGGGCCACCCCTTCCTTTTCCGTGGGTGTCATAAGTGGCGACTAATGGAAGGTGAGAGATGGGCAGCAGCGTCTGTCTTAAAACATCTCTAAAGACTAACTGCGGTTGTCAATTCTTCTGCCAAACGTGACAACTACTGGCAAAACCCCCTAAGAGGGAGGCTTATTACTACAGCTGAACAGCTGTAGACAATTAAAGGATGATATAATGATGATGAGGTAGGTACTTAACCAAATATACTTGCAAATTCATATCATATTCTGATGTTTTACTAAACATTTTTTTTTTTAATATTTGAAATATATTAGATGACTAAAAGTATATACATTAATTACTAGCTATTGCTTGCGGTTTTATACGTTTGATGCTGTTTTATACGTTTGATATCTGTTGTTTTATGTTGAAATTTAAAAAAATCCTTTCTTAGCAGAGGTTTCAATATATGAAATGATCTTCTATTCCAAACTTTAGCATTCTAGGCTTTTAGTAGTTTCAGCTGTGTGTTGATAGTTAGTCAGGTCAATTTTATAAGTAATAGATATTTAACTCCTCCATGTAAAAAGTGAAAGTTTCTTTTAACATATGAAACAAGAGACATTTTTTTAGGATTATGGTATGAAATTATTATAAGTGTGAACACCACAACCGTACCCTTTAACCCGACACGTAGTAATCCCGTTTTATGACCGTGGTATCTCCAAGATAGCTTTGATAATTTCAACGCTTTCTATTAAAAGTAACTAGAAAGAAACAAGTTGAGTGTTGAGCGTCATTGTATTTCGTATCTATTTATTTATCAATCTCTGCATTACACACCATATTTAAGGAACCATTCCTTTGATTATTTATGAAGATCATAATGCACATGCACTTAATCGTAATATATAAATAATAATTAAATTATACTCACTAGTTTTAATAATATAATTCATAACAAAAGATTTATTTTACGAGTATACATTTTAAAATCCAATGATATAATAAATCGACTGTTGTCATAGTTATATAATATAGATACCTACTATAGTTAGTAAACAACTAAGTAACTAAGTACAATAGAGCTGCGTACTCTATTGTAGAACACTATTGATTTGTTATAAAACATTGCCGGCACGTTATTAGTGACTAAATTACTTATAACAATGCAATCGTGACCGAGACTCCATGTAGTCCGCAGCCGCACCTCATCGCTACCTCGGCACACTTGCAATGCCGTGATATCTTCGCCGCAATCCCAGCCTCCAGCGAAATTGCACTTCATTTGCGTGTACACTTCTGTACCCACGGCGTTCCCACGCCCTTCGTCTGTTATCCGACATTCCGATATCATCACTATTGCTGTTGATCGATAGATTGAATCTACTAATCGGTATATAGCACGTAGTGTAGTATCATTTTAACATCTTTATAATTGAAGATAATGATTAATATTACAATGTACATAGTTGGTAGTGTTTCTTGCCGTGTCATCGTAATGAGTTCTCAACACTGGTCGGGTTCGAGTTCAAATAGAAGTGGGATCGGCTAACTGTTTTTTTAGGGTCGGAGGCATGGCATAGCTCTCGACATAAAAATACGAGACTACGCATAGAAACGTGTTTAATCGCTGGTGCCTGCGATGCAGCGTGGGCCAAGTTAGCCTGCGTTTTGAGAGAGACAGCGATACCACACGTGCGCATGATGAAGCGGGCTGACGGTGCAGCTTTTGATATCATAATTAAGCCGGGAACGACGGACCGATGGCGGGAGAATAAAAAAAAATGTGTTTATCTTATGAGCATAAATGAAGATGATTTTAATAACTCAACACGTTTGGTTATTAAATCAAGCTAAGACGTCGTGCATACTTCTGGCTTTAGAAACTCTTTTAAATGTTCTACGTAGATGAATCCTTTATGTTTTTTTATTATACGAGAAAGTATTCATCGCGGCTTGATAAAGAACTAAGATGTTCAATAGCGCTGCTATGTGGGAGACGTTTGAGAATTAAGTTTTTATTGTCTTCCTTTAAAAAACAAAAGAAGATAATTTATCAAGTCGCATGTCTTGCCAATAACAGATAAGTTGACAGTTCAGAGCTATTTATATCCTTTTATAACTCGATATGTTGAATTGGTGATGACACTTGGTGGTACAGTTAAATTTTGAATGTGCGTAGTTGCGTATCAAAGTGCGTACTTTCCGTTTTATTATACTTACTCGTATATTCGTTGTTTAATACTTGATTATTAGTGAGGTAGTTAGTTTGTATTTAAATTATAAATATTAATTTCTTCTAATTTAGTTTAAAAGGCCTTTTTAAAGGGCCAGCAGCACACCTGCAATGCCGTAGGTGTTGTGGGTGACCATGGGCGGCGGTAGTCACTTACCATCAGGTGAGCCGCATGCTCGTTTGCACCCTGTGTTGTAAAAAAAAATACCTACTATGTATAATAATTCAAAAATATTTTATTCAACATCTGATACAGTCAACAAAACATGTCTTATTATTAAATAAATTGTTAATCTAAGGACTTATCACAATGAAATTTAAATATTATAAGTGAATGTACAAAAGCATATAAATAAATAAATATCTATGTATATTTTATAGTCAGGTATTTACCTACTTATTTTCAAAACTTTTAGATAACAACTAGATCTCCAGAAACAATGGTCCTTTGAGCATATCTTTTAATACGAACAATACCAACGTCAAAAGCAGATTTCTGTAGATTTAAATACTAACCTTCTATACATAAAAGAGAATATCTTTACAATAAACGAAAATTATTCAAGTTAATATAAAACTTCAATCAAAAGTACTCGTATTTATGCAAATGGATAAGTATTTTATTAAGAACTGCAGCGCTAAATGTGATTTAAGATTATGCAAAATAAATTATGTATTATGTTAATAAGTAATTTTTTTAAATAATTTTTTATATAGTTTTTTTTTTTTCTATAGAAACTGTTCGTACTTTTTGTGTGCATTATTCTTAAAATAACTTCGCACAGTAGCAGCGGATGCACGTGTGCGCCACTGACTCCACCCTCTTGCCTTTTTGTTGCTATTGCTGTTTGCATTTTGCGTCAGCGCAGACAATCTCGCACATTATATATGGATAATATTATATATATGCGTTAAATAATAATAATTATTATCGAAATATGTAGTTTACTACCGTTTATGCGCACTATTTTATACATAGGAAAATCAATGAAATAAACCACTTCACGCACAAAAACTAATAGTGCAATAGTTTTTGTGCGATACCGATGTATGAATAAACACATAGAGAAATAGATTTTTTTTTTAATTATTGTTTTTGACTTCTATGATTCTTTATTAAGACTCCTCATATAAATTTTTCTTAAATATCTCGCACTACAGATATCATTTCGTTACAATTTTATTATAGGTATTAATAAGAAGTAAAATGCATACAAACATATGCTTATTTAAAAAATCGTTTCTACTTTATAATACTAGATGTGAGAAATAGTGAGCTATTAAGATCAAAGTTAGTGTTCTAATAAAACAAAAGAATTATATGGTTTATAAATACACATATAATAATGTAGTTATTTAAGATTATAAATTTTTAGTTTCATTCTGTTCAAATTTTCATACTGTTTGAACTTGTAGTAATCTATACCTCAGTCTGAACCTATTGGAGTAATATTGACGGTTAACTACTAAAATTTATCCCCTAAATGAAATGAAATAGATTTTAGTTTCATTTAATGAGACTGTTTTCTCTGTTTTCTGTTTCTATAACTATTAGTAGAGAGATGTTAGCGGTCAACCGACGATATGTAATATGGACTTGGCAACATTATATGTGTAAAAATCGCTACAACTTTGATGCAGTAATTTTAACTAGGTAGGTACGCGGACAAATAAAGGTGTAGCTTAAAACGATTAAAAGAATTAATAGAAGAGTAAAATAACAAAAAATGTGTGTTTATTTCTGTGTTACACTTACTTTATTTTTTATACAACTTGTTTTGGCAAACAAGGTGACTGACACCTGATGGAAAGCAGTAAGAAATCTCAATCAATATATTGTTTTATTCATAAAACATCGTCATAATAATATCAAAGAGCACCGAAACATACCTTTAACTTTGTTCATATCGGGGCTATCCCTTTTAAAGCTTTGTCGAAATGTTTACGTCCCATATTGAACGTGAAATTCCAAACAATGAGAGCTACCGCGTGCAGCGTATGCGTACACGCATCTCAACACCGCACGTGTTCCTCTTATGGAGTACAATAGATTAATAGTCTGGCATTCTGGTATTTTTTGTAGTATTTAAACATTGTTGGTTTATAATTTGTTCGTTTACAAAACGTACAAACAATTAGTATCTATTGGGGTTGTTTATATTTAATGTTACATTTAGAATTTTTTTCATAATGTTTTTATGCTGGACTGATCATCATTCGAAATTCTTATACGAATAAATCGAGTGTTATTACAAAAATCGTCATAGTAACAGAGACTAAACTGTAGTTTATAACTTTACCTACGTAATTTGATGATCACCGTTTCTCAATTACTCTAGCAAGCCTTTTTTGAATTGGAAATTGAAATACTGCCTCTATTTTGTATTAAGTTCACACGTAGTAAACTATAATAGAATACCGTGTGATATAAACTATTACATATTCATCGAGTTACAAGTTAACGTTTATTTTTTTATGTCGTCGGACTAACGAGCGGCCCTTGTGGGCGTAAGGCGGAATTGAAACTCGAATAAATTGAATTGTGTGACTATGATTACCTCGAGATGCTTACAAACGAACTATATGCATATCTAACAACAACATAGTATTTGGAATGAGATTCAATATTGGTTGTTGTAATTGGAATAACGTGTGAAAGTAAACAAAACTTACTCAACATTTGAATTAATTTAAAAACTAATTTCAATTTTG